TTTTGTCCTTGTGTCTAGACGCTGTAGTCTATTTTGTCCTTGTGTCTAGACACTGTAGTCTATTTTGTCCTTGTGTGTAGACGCTGTAATCTATTTCGTCCTTGTCTGTAGACGCTGCAGTATTGTTTGCCCTTGTGTCTAGACGCTGTAGTCTATTTTGTCCTTGAGTCTAGACGCTGTAGTCTATTTTGTCCTTGTGTCTAGACACTGTAATCTATTTCGTCCTTGTCTGTAGACGCTGCAGTCTTTTTTGTCCTTGTGTCTAGACGGTCCAGTCTATGTTGTCCTTTTGTGTAGACGCTGTAATCAATTTCGTCCTTGTCTGTAGACGCTGCAGTCTTTTTTGTCCATGTGTCTAGACGCTGTAGTCTATTTTGTCCTTGTGTGTAGACTAATCTATTTCGTCCTTGTCTGTAGACGCTGCAGTCTTTTTTGTCCTTGTGTCTAGACGCTCCAGTCGATTTTGTCCTTGTGTGTAGTTACTGTAATCTATTTTGTCCTTGTCTGTAGACGCTGTAGTCTTTTCTGTCCTTGTGTCTAGATGCTGTTGTCTATTTTGTCCTTGTGTGTAGACGCTGTAATCTATTTCGTCCTTATCTGTAGACGCTGCAGTCTTGTTTGTCCTTGTGTCTAGACGCTGAAGTCTTTTTGTCCTTGTGTGTAGACGCTGTAGTCTCTTATTGTCCTTGTGTGTAGACGCTGTAGTCTGTTTTGTCCTTGTGTGAAGACGCTGTAGTCTGTTTTGTCACTGTGTGAAGACGCTGTAGTCTATTTGTCATTGTGTGTAGACGCTGTAGTCTATTCTGTCCTTCTCTGTTGACGCTGTTGTATATTTTTTCCTTGTGTGTAGACGCTGTAGTATAATTTGTCTTTGTTTGTAGACGCTGTAATCTTTTTTGTCCTTCTCTATTGACGCCTTTGTATATTTTGTCCTTGTGTGTAGACGCTGAAGTATATTTTGCCCTTGTCTTTTAACTATTTATATATATTTTGCCCTTGATTGATGAAGATTTGGTAGAGGCCGCCCTGGTGTTTTGCAACAAATATAGTCTATTTTGTCATTGTTTGTTGACGCCTTGATATATCTTTTTGTGTTGACACATATACTATATGTGTAAGTGCTGGTATTTCATTTTTTTGTAAATGTTTTGGTACATTTGTGGTTTTAAGATTTCGTTCCTGTTTCGGTCAATTTTGCACTAGTGTGTTGATGCTTATGACTTTTTACGAGTTTTTCCCTGTTCGGATACATTATATACTTATCTTATGTGTGACGCTGTGCTTGTTTTTTACAACTATGGTTATATTGTAACATTACACAATCCATAACGGTCCAAATTGAGGGGAGGGGGCCGCGGTGGTCAATTGGTTAAGGCGTCCGACATTCTGCTACTACTAGCCCTCCACCACTGGGTCAGGTGGTTTAACTCCGGCTTTCCTCCACCTATGTAGCCTAGCACGTGCTTAAATGACCATTGCCGTTAATACGACGTAAAAACACAAACAAACCAAACCAAATTGCGGTTTACTTAACATCGGGCGTACTGTAACGATATCAACGTTATATAAACGTCGTCATAAAATCATTCGCAAGGTACGACCTTCTTATCAGAAATGATTTTTCAAAGCAATGGTCATGTCAGAAAAGAGTTCGTGGTACTGGGTTCCTAAAGTGTGTTTTTATCATTTCATAACATTCAATCTGACAAAACAATCTCTGTAACTTCGGTATCCGTGCAAGCATATTGTAAGCAGACACAATAAATAAGTATAGGGAAACGTAACCTTTTGTCAGTCGGAATCGTGTACGAAGTAAGAGCAATACTCCAAACGCAGACGAAAGGTCTGCAAAGGTGACTCCAGTGAGACGGCTATTGTTACGATTGTGCAGACGTAATGTCAACAAGAGCCTCGCCTCTCTAAATAACGGTTTCTCCTGGGAGATTAGATTGCTTTTCATATCTGGTAGAAATTACAAATTACCAGACACTCGAATTACAAAACATTGCACGTACGATAAAAATCGTTGGCTGTATTGGTGTAATGGTCATCCGAACGGTCAAGTGGTCTCTATTAACAAACCTGGACGGGCTATCGGCTCCGACGGCACTTGACCAACCCTTGATGGGCGTATGTGATGGATTTCGTCTCCTTAGTCCTATATCAATCCCCTCAATGGGATATGGCTACGATGCTAATTTTGTTCCGCGTCGCAAGGTAAATTGCCAACTAACTTTATGTTTGTAGTGACAGTTATTGCCAAGCCGTAGAGAGGTAGCGGTAATTTATTATATAAAGTGTGTAAGATCTCATACAAATTGTACAAGCATGGTAAACACTAGCATGGTAAACACAAGCATGGTAACACGGGTTTAGTTTTAATTTGTTTATAAGATTTAGCGCCTTACTAACAGCTCATGTCTTTTAGGAACGTGCCTCTATATTTTGTAATGCATATATACTATGCTGGACGCGTTTCCGTGTTGCATATTTGCACCTGTGTTGGCTCGGGTAAAGAATAGGCCTGGGTCATGTTCGTTCACGTGGGACAACAGGTTGGACTGTTTTTAAATGTAATATTTTCGAGTATAAATCTTGGAGGACCTGCAAATGTTTATGCAGGATTTGCAAGGCCTTGTCAAGGCTCGCCTGAAAACAGCATCAGATTACTAAGTCCGACCTTATTTAATAAACGAACAACTCTGGTCCAACCGTTCCAACCGTTTGGATAGCGATAAACGAAAGCGGTCCTGCTGTATTCCACTGGATGCGTAAAGAGGCGACT